TTTTTTTTTTCTGTTTTTTTTACCTTCTTTATTATTTTGGTCAGGTCAAAAAGGTAATTTATTCAACATATATATATATATATATATATATATATATTTTTTTTTTTGATCCCGTAAAAAAAAAAGTTATTCATTTTTTTTTTCTAATAAAAAAACCTAAAATATTAAATATTAGAGATAAAGATAGAAAATCTAAAAGGTAAAGTGTAATAATTATTTATTTGTAAAGTTAGATTTAAGATTGTAAAGTTAGAGTTAAGATTACTATTTTATTTAAGATTGTAGTTTAAACGTCCAAAACTAAATAATTTTATCTTTTTTTTTTAAATTTATTTTTAACACTGGGCCCTCTGAATTAAAATTATTGGGACTGGAAGTGACTAATTGATGCTTTTTAATATTCAAATTTGTGTATTTTTTTTTTTTGGTTGAATCAAATTTGTGTATTTCACTAACAATAAATAACACAAGTACAGAGAGAGACTGAAAATGAAAGACCAAGGAAGAGTCAACACGTCCATAAAATTGTGTGAACACAAATTGCTTTCTTGTGAATCTTGTTCAAGGCATTGAGCTAACAGACTTTTGAAACACTGAAATGTGCCCAACTTTCTGCCAAATTGGATAAAATATTCTAAAATAAAAATTCAACTCCAACTCAAAATACTTTTAGCCAAAAAGAAATTCCAATTCCAAATGCTCCTTTTTTCCCTTGTGCATATGATTAAATTAGTGAATTCCATTATTTTCACTTGGACGTGTCTTTATGCTCATTGGACATTATGAGAATTTGAAGTGATTAGTCATAGACACAATCGTGCAAGCATTCATTCATTCATGAAAAAGCCTTTTGCTTTTGTCAATTATACGATGAAAAAGTTTGAGATGGCGCAATAGCAATCATGCTTTCACACTCTGTTTGGTAAGGGAGGAAAAAGGAAAGACGACCATTTTTCAATATTCTTTCCGTTTGTTGAATGATAAAATCCATGAAGAGAACAGAGAGGAGTCGTGAGCGGATAAGAAAAGAAATAACAAATCCGTTTGGACCCATCATCCACATATTCACTTCAAAATTATAATGCAACGAGTCTTTGATGTTAGTGTTTATATTCTGTTTATTATATTTAATACTCTTTCGTGCATTGGTCTTATATGTGTAATCTATGTTTTCATTTACGAGTAATTGAATCAAAAGAGAAGAACGGAATGACGATGGGCAAAAGGACGATGGTTGTTGATGAAACAAAGAAAGTAGCGGGTTATACATATATATATATATATGTGAAAAAAGAATCTCAGTGTTATACCAAAATTTTGACTAGGAGTTAAAATTGTTACAAATTAATATACAGCACCAATAATGTCATGGATCAACGGTCTGAGAAGGAACCACATAATAATAATAACTTTGATAAAAATAAATAAATAAAATAAATTGTCGTCAAAGTTGATGTCACTACTAGGTGCGGCAAATTACCACACGATTTATTAACACGATTCGAATATGACACGAGATAAGCGAATTTGGATTAACCTTAAACAGGTTCGGTTTATAAACGGGTTAACACGATTAGCCCGTTTACTTAACCGTGTCGAATTAGAATTGAGGGGGTTGAACACCTGTAAACCTAAACTACGCCTTATGATTTTTCTTCTTATTTTGAATATTTGAGTTAATTGTGGCAATTTTTTATAGTATTTATTATTTGATTAAATATTAAATGTCATGTTTTGATAAAGAGATCATTAAATCGGTTAACACATTAGCCCCGTTTAATAAATAAGTCAAGTTAAGTCAAGTTAGTATTGAGAGTTTCTGATATGATTTTTAAATGGGTCAAGTTTGAATTTACCTATTTAGTAAAATATCCTTACATTAATACGATTATGACCTATAAACACTAATTGTCACTCCCACAATTCATCATATTTATAGGACATTATTAGTAATTGATGTATTTATAGGACATTATAAGTCTTCCATGAATATAATTAGAAATTGATTGACGGATAATTGAAGGGGTGGAATCAACTTTGGTTGTTAAAAGACTATTATTGTTCCTTCACCTCCAAATGTGATAAACACAACGAGATAAAGATAAAAATAAAGTTGTACTTGATCTAGACTTTGATAAGATGCCCAAACTAATTTCAAATCATGCCTGCCAACTTAAAGGATTTACATGGAAACCACGTTTAAAATGAAAATTACTTTGAATGACAAAAAAAAAATTGATATCGACTTCAAGAGACAATTAGCCCAGAGACATGGGGTCAAACCTAGACGTGACAACAATTTCAGACATAACAATATGTGTGAGTAGTTATGTAACAAGGAAAATAATATTCGAAGAAAAAATAATTTGAATTTCAATAACATGTATTAGTTGTATAAATTGTGATGAATCAAATCATTTTATTTTAATACAGTGTTCGCATTAGTTGGTTGTACTATTGACTTGATACAATAATTGCGTAACTAATAAATTGTGATGAGTTAAATCATTTTATTTTAATACAATGTTTGCATTAGTTGGTTGTACTATTGACTTGATACAATAATTGTGTAACTAATAATTTCTCTTGTCCATAGTGAAGTTTGTTAGAAGATAATATAATCACAATTGAGCATTTTTTTTTGGTTGCATTTTTGTTTGTCGATGATGTCCTCCAAATATAGTAGTGGTGGAAACACTAGGGTGGGTTTTATCTAACCAACAAGCCAACCTACCCTTTAGAAGTTGTAGAATATGCATGTGCCCCACTTGTAGATAAACTAAAAATCATAAAATAAAAACAAAAATAAAGAAGAAAGTGAGACTAGGCGCAATGCGCTCCCACGCGCAACAACATATTACTCCAATTTACTACGACTGACATTCCCCCACAATTTTTTTTTTTTTTTTTTTTAAACCCCCACAATTATTAATTATATAGTGTATAGATATAGATAGATATAGATTCTGTTCCCATGTAATGTAAGTGACCCCTCCTACAAAACAAACAAAGTCCCAAAGACTTCAGTTGCCAGCTGGCCCATGCCTCTGTGTCCTGCTCTTATAATCTAATCTAATCTAATCTAATCTAATCTGAGCCCTCCGCCTCATTGGATTGTCCAAACCTTGCTTGACACGTGTCCCCACTCAGAGGCTTTGGTTTGAGAGGTCCCACAAAATAATTTCCAAATTAAATATGGAAGGAAGTTGTTGGGTCAATGCCAGATGCCAATAGACTTCGGTTGCATTTCCAAAGCAGGAAAACAAATTGGTCGTTAAAATAATTGAACTTCCTTCCCCCTCCAGTCCCTATGCAGTTTGTTTGGTGTGTGTGTGTGTGTATATATATATATATTCGGAAATGGTGTGTGTATATTTCAATTTTCAAAATAATATCGGTAATATTTGGTCATAATTTCAACCAAACCAACAGCAAAACTAAGCATGGAAATGAATTCAATCCCGATCAAATTAAGCCTGATCTGACCCGAATTCTAAAATTTAATTCGATAATCTGATACATTACTTGTTCTTGAATTTATATTCAATTTTCTGTTAATTGATTATTCAATCCAATAATGCAATTAAAAAAGGATATAAATTTCTATTTAAAAACATAATGTTACAAGATATTAGCAAACAAATATTAAGGAAAAGAAAAAAATATATATTTACAAAACAAAATACTCCATAGTAAAAAATTAGGTATTTGACTTATTATTAAAGAAAAAATTAATAAAGAGAAACAAAATAGAGAGACGCAGAAGAATAAGAAAATAATAATAATAAATATTTTAATACTATATTTTTATTCCTACAGTAACAAAATAATCTGAACACGCGATATATTTCTACTAATAAATACATAACAAACTGAATTCTACAGTTGCAACTATATATTCTTTTTCCGATCAGCCTCATTTTCGGAGGCATGTGCATATAGCTGGAGGAGTGGTCTCCATTAAAGATTGAGGATAGCTTCATTGCCACAACAGAAATATATAAATATCTATATATCATTCTGTATAACTCTGTATCTTTACGTCTTTAGGACTTCATGCCATGGGTTTAGAGAAGGCTTGCCCAATTGTTGAATCAAATGGAGAAATTGAAAATTCCTTCAATTATTTAAATGCCAACAATTTGATACATGAACATGTGATGAGTTTTATTTTCCTAAAAATTCATCAATTTGTTTAAAAATTGCTATAATTATTCTATCCTACTTGGTTTAATCGGACAAAAGTTGTGCAAAGGAGAGAACCAAACCTCTTCTTATGGAATCTATACATGCATCCATGTGCATAGATCATTGCCATATATAACTTTTTCTTTTATCCCTTTTACTTTTTGTAATTATATATATATATATATATATTTGAACATGTGCATTAACAATTTCTCCTAATCAAATGTCTGACATATATTAGTTTTTCTTCAATCCCTTTTACTTTTTCTAATATATATATATATATATATATATACACGAACATGTGCACCAACAATTTATCCTTCTAATTCGTTTTTTCCTTTTTCGTTTTAAAAAAAAAAAATTCAAAATTTGAAGATTAAAACAGTCTCATTTATAATTAATGGGTCATTAGCTATTACAACAAATTTGTGTGAAAAAAAAAAATTAAAGAAGGAAAAAAATTCAGTGCTAGTGATTAGCAACATTGAATTGGTCAACAGATCCCCACTCTTTTTCTTTCCCTAACTAACCTTACCCAGATATTTACATCTCCTCCATTTGCTTCATTCGTTTACTTTCGCTTCAGAGAGAAGATAAAAATTAAGGATTATTACAGTCAATGTTGGCTACTTTTTATTTATTTATTTTATTTTTCTTCTTCTTTTCATTTACAAATAACACCGCCCCTCCCTCCCCTACTGAAACTAGAAACGTTAAATCATACTTACACTGCGTGTGTGTGTGTGTGTGTGTGAGAGAGAGAGAGAGAGAGAGAGAGAGAGAGAGATACAGAGATACAGAGAGAGAGATACCTTGAAATTCCTCTTTTTGAGAAATTGACCATGCATTCAGTTCATCTAAGAGGAACCATTTAATTCCCTAAAATGGCTAAAAAAGGAAAAGAAAAGAAAAAGAAAGAAAGGAAAAAAAAAAACCCTAAATACAACAATCTCATGGTCCACGAAGCACGTGTGAATAACACGCCTCAACCATGTTACATGGAACATGAGGAATGAAAAAGATGATGAAGGAATTTGTACAAATTAGAAGGCAAATCAGTGGATTGTACAGAAAAATAGAAACGGAAGGCCACAAACGGCAAGTCAATAGGAATTGACCGTCCGGTGAACCACACGATCCCTGAGAATTCCATTGTACAGAGCCATCCTGTTCGCCGGCATTCCTCGTGCTGTCCTGCTCTCTTTCAATCTTGACGAAGACGATGAACAATTGCTATTGCCACTCCTTTGCCTCCTGAATTCCTCACTGTTCCCTCTTGGGTCCATCACATCCTCTGCAAAGTGCACCCTCTTCTTCTTTTTCTCTCTCTTCTTCCCATCATGATCTACACAACCCACATACCAAAAATTAGACCCACAAAACATATAAATTGTAATCAAGACTAAACAATTAATATATGTGTGTGTGTGTGTGTGTGTGTATAGAGAGAGAGAGACAGAGAGAGAGAGAGACAGAGAGAGAGAATTGTATAAACCTGAAGAGATACAGGAACGCTGAATGGGTTGAGAGGATTGGGGAATTGGGTTGATGGTGAATTGGGTAGTTGGGAGAGACTTCTGAAGGCGAAAAGCCAAGAGAATTACAGTGCCAGAGACGGCCATGGCTGTGGCCAAGACCACGCCTTGACAAGTCAAGATTGAAGCCATATACAAATAAGAGAGAAGGGAGAAACAAGTTACTGTTCTTGATCTACAAGGGGAGAGGATAAATTGTATGGGTGTTTGCAGAGGAGAATGTATATAGACATGGTGTAATATTATATGCGTGTGTGTGTGTGTGTGGGGGGGGGGGGGGTGTTTATGGTTATTATTATTATTATATGGATTATGAAAGGCGTTGGGAATCCTTAGAATGAGTTTGAATGGTATTGGTGTTGGTATACTAATGTATTGTAAAGGCTCTTTTTAACGAGGACTCACTGACGGCCCGCTTAATTACTTTTGCTTGTGCACCACACGGCAACGCTTGAATCAAGGGTTCTGGCTGACGTACTTGCTTCCATACATAAAACCATATATATATATATATATTAAAGGGTTAATTTCACCTAAATTCCCTAACGTTTGCTTATATTTCACTTACACACCCTTTATGTTATATAATTCTACCTACACCCTTTGTCAGTAACCTTCGTTTAATTTTCTAACAGGAATGTGTGATTTTACTTTTTTGCCCATAAATTATATATTAAAATTTAGGAATAATTTCACTAACACCCCCAGTAGTTTGACCAAATATCAATCTAAAACATCTTTCGAAAATAATTATCACTTAGGTCCATTTTCGATTTTCGTCACAGTCTCCGTTAAAAACATGTGAAAAGACAACTTTGCCCCTATTTTTTAATAACATTTATTTCAAAATATCAGATTAGTTAAAAGACAATTATACCCCCGACAATTATACCACAAATAAAATCTCTAAACTTCATCATCTCTCCGACGATGTCAACCCCTTTTCGAATGAGCATCGGGTGGATGGAACTGTTGGCCATCGTCGTGGTGGTGGGTGGTGGTTCCAAAAGTCAAGGCTTTTTTGGTGGTGGGTGGTGTGTTGCAGAAGAGAGAGAAAGTGTATAGAGAGATTGGTGGTTGGTGGTCGGTGATGATGGGGTGATGGTGGTTGGTGGTCGGTGATGATGGGGTGATGGTGGTAGTGGTGCCGCCGGCGACTGTGGTTGCATAACCCAAACCCATTTTTGTTGTCGGGTGAGGTTGAGGCGAGGGTTGGAAGCGGTGGTGTGGTTCACAGCAGAAACTTCAGGCGACAGAAGCGGCAACATGGTTTAGGGCGGCGACGGCTAGGATGAGTGCTTGTCGCCGGTGAGAGAGCTTGCTGTTGGTTTGACGATGAAGCAAGAACTGGGTTGTTGAACCTCTGCAACTTCCGGCGAACAAAACGGAGGGCTTTGGTGGTGGAGAGTTTCAAATTCCGGTGACAAGTTGAGGAACCAATCCTCTGATTGGTATTGGGTTGGGATTGTGTGGGCGGCGACGACAGCGACGACGATGGCGGATGTCTATGTGGGTAGCCGTGGCGAATTAGTTATTTACCCCTTTAATTGGCAAGGTAGTCTGTATTTCTATAAAATACTGAAAAATAAGAGTACTTTACCTTTTATTAACGTGGGTGAAGTGCTCTCCGGAGTTGAATCTAAAGTCTTCGGGATCGCTGCAATTGCCGGCGGAGAAGTGGTTGGTGCAGAGACATTGGGCAAAGAAGAGTTGGTGGAAGGAATTGGGCATAATTTCCTGAGTGGACTACCGCACAATTCCGGATTTCCGGAAAGTGATTTCGTTTCCTGGTTGAAGAAAACAGGTGATTCCAGAATCTCTCCGGTGAAATTGTTAAATGACAGATCAAGAGTGGCGTTCACCGGAATTTTGTCTGTGTGAAGGAATGGATTTGCTAAGAAGTTCTGAATTGGGTGAAGTGAGGTGAACTGAACCCTTTTCTCTGTGTGTAATGTGTGTATATATATAGAGAGAGATGTGAAAATTAGTAGATGATCCTGTAGATAGCTCTATAGATAGATTATAAAAAGTCCATGAACAGAAGTCAATACCCGAACCATACATTATTCTTGCTGTGTTGAGTAAGGCAATGGAAGAGAGAAATGGAAAGCAAATGGATTAAATGTAACAGTGACATAGACAGAGTGACCCCAAATTCACGTATGGTGCGTTCTTGACTTCCTCTTTTAACCCTAATCCTCCAAACCCAAATGAAAATGACAACCAAAAATCAGAAAGGGATTAAACACAAACACACAAAGAAAATAAAAATAAAAAAATTTAAGAAGAAAAAAGAATTTTTTTTGAAGTGAAGTTGTTGTAAACTGTAATGAGGTTTGGCAGCAAAAACAGCAGCACCAGCCGTGTTGGAGGTCCTCTTTACCTTGATTGACGGCGATTGGTGGTGGTGTTGTGCTTGTGTGTGTGTGTGTGTGTCTATATATATATATATATATATATATATATGTCTGTGTGTGTATATATGAGTATATATATGTCTGCCTGTATATATAATATAATTTGTAAATTTACAAATTTTTAAGGGGCAATATTGTCTTTTAATACTGATATTTGTAAAAAAATAAATTAAAAAAAATGAGGGTAGACCAAAGTCAGGGTCAAACCAAAGTCAAAGGGTAAAAATGTCTTTTTACATGTAAAAAGTGGTCTGACACACCTGTAAATTAACTTTTGGGGTGTGAGTGAAAAACGGAGCAAACGTTTGTAATGTGAGTGATAGTTATTTTCAAAAAATGTTTTAAACTGATATTTGACCAAACTACTGGGGGTGTTAGTGAAATTATCCCTAAAATTTATAACTTAAATAAAAAGACTTAAACACCCTCTATCTTTCTCTCTACACAGATAGAGGGATTATGAAAGGCGTTGGGAATCCTTAGAATGAGTTTGAATGGTACTGGTGTTGGTATAGTATTGTATTGTAAAGGCTCTTTTTGATGAGGACTCACTGACGGCCCGCTTAATTACTTTTGCTTGTACACCACACGGCAACGCTTGAATCAAGGGTTCTGGCTGACGTACTTGCTTCCATACATAAAACCATATATATATATATATATATATATATATTAAAAGGTTAACTTCACCTAAATCCCCTAACGTTTGCTTATATTCCACTTACACACCCTTTATGTTATATAATTCCACCTACACCCCCTGTCAGTAACCTTCGTTTAATTTTCTAACAGGAATGTGTGATTTTACTTTTTTACCCATAAATTATATATTAAAATTTAGGAATAATTTCACTGACACCCCCAGTAGTTTGGCCAAATATCAATCTAAAACATCTTTCGAAAATAACTATCACTTAGGTCCATTTTCGATTTTCCGTCACAGTCTCCGTTAAAAACATGTGAAAAGACAACTTTGCCCCTATTTTTTAATAACATTTATTTCAAAATATCAGATTAGTTAAAAGACAATTGTACCCCCGACAATTATACCACAAATAAAATCTCTAAACTTCATCATCTCTCCGACGATGTCAACCCCTCTTCGAATGAGCATCGGGTGGATGGAACTGTTGGCCATCGTCGTGGTGGTGGGTGGTGGTTCTAAAAGTCAAGGCTTTTTTGGTGGTGGGTGGTATGTTGCAGAAGAGAGAGAAAGTGTATAGAGAGATTGGTGGTTGGTGGTCGGTGATGATGGGGTGATGGTGGTTGGTGGTCGGTGATGATGGGGTGATGGTGGTAGTGGTGCCGCCGGCGACTGTGGTTGCATAACCCAAACCCATTTTTGTTGTCGGGTGAGGTTGAGGCGAGGGTTGGAAGCGGTGGCGTGGTTCACAACAGAAACTTCAGGCGACAGAAGCGGCAACATGGTTTAGGGCGGCGACGGCTAGGATGAGTGCTTGTCGCCGGTGAGAGAGCTTGCTGTTGGTTTGACGATGAAGCAAGAACTGGGTTGTTGAACCTCTGCAACTTTCGGCGAACAAAACAGAGGGCTTTGGTGGTGGAGAGTTTCAAATTCCGGTGACAAGTTGAGGAACCAATCCTCTGATTGGTATTGGGTTGGGATTGTGTGGGCGGCGGCGGCAGCGACGGCGATGGCGGATGTCTATGTGGGTAGCCGTGGCGAATTAGTTATTTACCCCTTTAATTGGCAAGGTAGTCTGTATTTCTATAAAATACTGAAAAATAAGAGTACTTTACCTTTTATTAACATGGGTGAAGTGCTTGCCGGAGTTGAATCTAAAGTCTTTGGGATCGCTGCAATTGCCGGCGGAGAAGTGGTTGGTGCAGAGACATTGGGCAGAGAAGAGTTGGTGGAAGGAATTGGGCATAATTTCCTGAGTGGATTACCGCACAATTCCGGATTTCCGGAAAGTGATTTCGTTTCCTGGTTGAAGAAAACAGGTGATTCCAGAATCTTTTCGGTGAAATTGTTAAATGACAGATCAAGAGTGGCGTTCACCGGAATTTTGTCTGTGTGAAGGAATGGATTTGCTAAGAAGTTCTGAATTGGGTGAAGTGAGGTGAACTGAACCCTTTTCTCTGTGTGTAATGTGTGTATATATATAGAGAGAGATGTGAAAATTAGTAGATGATCCTGTAGATAGCTCTATAGATAGATTATAAAAAGTCCATGAACAGAAGTCAATACCCGAACCATACATTATTCTTGCTGTGTTGAGTAAGGCAATGGAAGAGAGAAATGGAAAGCAAATGGATTAAATGTAACAGTGACATAGACAGAGTGACCCCAAATTCACGTATGGTGCGTTCTTGACTTCCTCTTTTAAGCCTAATCCTCCAAACCCAAATGAAAATGACAACCAAAAATCAAAAAGGGATTAAACACAAACACACAAAGAAAATAAAAATAAAAAAATTTAAGAAGAAAAAAGATTTTTTTTTGAAGTGAAGTTGTTGTAAACTGTAATGAGGTTTGGCAGCAAAAACAGCAGCACCAGCCGTGTTGGAGGTCCTCTTTACCATGATTAACGGCGATTGGTGGTGGTGTTGTGCTTGTGTGTGTGTGTGTGTCTATATATATATATATATATGTCTGTGTGTGTATATATGAGTATACATATGTCTGCCTGTATATATAATATAATTTGTAAATTTACAAATTTTTAAGGGGCAATATTTTCTTTTAATACTGATATTTGTAAAAAAATAAATTAAAAAAAATGAGTGTAGACCAAAGTCAGGGTCAAACCAAAGTCAAAGGGTAAAAATGTCTTTTTACATGTAAAAAGTGGTCTGACACACCTGTAAATTAACTTTTGGGGTGTGAGTGAAAAACGGAACAAACGTTTG